CTACACCGAGGCAAGAAGCAGAGCTGTGTTAAAGATACCCCACTTCAGCCTCGAGCTGAGAACTGAGGGAATTCCTGGTGTGCGGTGGGTTCCGGGCGCCGCAATGCCACCTCTGGGATTCCAGGGAGATTCCGCTCAGGTCTTTCCAGCTCCGAGGTGAAGTGGGTATCTTTAGGAACAGTCTGGCTTCATTGCCTCGGTTAGCCACCTTTCTATGTTTACGTATCCAAATAGTGACTTGCATCCTTTGCAAATTAGGTCGTCTATGCCACTGCTGTGAGTACCCAATCTCCGTAATATGGAAAAGTTTTTGGTGCCCTGTCTAGGCAGCCCGGGTGTTTTGTATGGTTATTGTTACTATATATGTATAGTGTTCCCACATACTGCTTGAGTCTGTATTTCATGTTTTGTGTTGTACTTTATATGTTGTATTATGTATTCGTGACACGGCAGAGGTGCGGAGCATGGCGTGAGGGCTGCTCGGATGGCTACCAGGGGGTGTGGGGAGTTTTTTTGGATCCCTAGGGAACGGGGATGCAGTTCGATTACATGACAGGTCCGTTGTGCGCCCATGGGTACCTGCTGTCGGTCTCGTCAAGCGGCGACAGGTGCAAAGGGGGCGATTATGTTGGGCGTAGCGTTGGCGCCCAGCGCGCGGCAGGCGTAAAAGAAGGCATCCTTCTAGGTCCTAGGGACGTAACGCAAGAGCAGCGGGGAGAGAGAGGGCTAACAGAGTATAGGGGTTAGGGACTGTGGGCGTGGTATCCGAGGGCCCTTGCATTGACTTCCCTGGAGGTCCTTGCACAGGCCTATAGTCCTTACCCCCCCCCCCAGTTTTTCAACCGGCAACAGGGGTTTCCAGGCGGGACTGGCATTTTCGGAGAAGTGCCCACTGTCCAGGAGTCTCCAGATGTGGGGGCGTAATTCCCGACTCGCGTTCCTGGGACATGGTTGAGGAGCCACCTTCCACAGCCCCACCGGACAGAAAAGCAGGAGACATCAGGATGGCTAATCTTACACGAGAGGAGGTCTATTTTCTGGTAGCCAGGGTCCACAGTGCCCATTGAGCACCAACGCAGGCCACTCTCGGCAGGCAGAGGACCCCGACTGGGGTTGCAGCGGTTTTATCCCCGATGGATGCAGTACGCCTATGCGAGTGGCGCCGATCCACGCCTGGACATTTGCATGTGAGCCTTCAACAGATTGTGGTTGGCTGGGTAGCCGATCAGTAACAGCGGTTTCAAACCAAGCAAAGTTGGGCCGCAAGACAAGCGAGGAGCAGACAGTTCCAGAAGGCCGGAGGTTAGTTCAGCGGCTTCGACCTGGGCTGGTGTGGGCCTGGCGAGGTATGGCAATGTCTTGACCCCTCACATAGCTGGGGGTACTGTATGACTTGGGGCTGCTCGGGTCCGGGGTTTAACTCAGCGTTAAAGAGGGGGCCGGTGTTTTGCCCATCCTGTGGCCCCCTGTTCCTCGACCCACACCTGTTGGAGACTATCAGACCATCGCGCACACTTCCAACGACTTGTCCTGACTTGTTCCTACGCAGGGAAAAGT